CAGCTCCAGGGTGGCCTTGAACAGCAGGTGCCCGCCTCCTGCCTCAGTGCCTTGCTTAAAAGCAAAAGAACTCACGGCGTTGAGAACCCATGTGCACCATGAGATGGGGCCCGCTGCTGTGGAAGCCAGTCTGGCACTTCCTAAAAAGCCTGAACACGGAGGTGCCACATGACCCAGCAATTCCACTCCTAGTTATGTGCCCAGAGGAATTGGAAGCAGGCGTTCAACTAGAACCATGCCACAAATGTCCTTACGGTTCATATGACTCACAATGGTGAAAAGGTGGAAGTGACCCAAGTGTCCCTCAGTGGGTGAATAGATAAACACAGCGTGGCCCTCCACACACTGGAATGCGACTCAAAGCTGTTAACAGTTTCTGATTTGCACCTTTTTCATTCAGGATTCACCCGCCACTGCAGTCTGAGATTATTGGCATAGCCACAGTCCCTGGGTCTTTTCTTTTCTTTTTTTTCACATAATTAAATCAGGGTCTCTTCTGCTCGACTCTGTGGACATTTGGGGCTAGTTTGTTCTCTGGGCTGGGGCTGTCCTGGGCACTGCAGGGTGCTGAGTGGCATCACTGGCCTCTACCCACTCCATGCTGGGAGCACCCCCAGTCCTGACAGCTGCAGATGTCCCCAGATATTGCCCAGTGTCCCCTGGGGGCAGGATTGCCCCTCATTGAGACTCCCTCTAGGTTAGGGGAATCCACGAACCCCCAAGAGACTCTTTGTCCCACGACCATCTCTCCTACTGAGGTCCCAGGAGGCTGCACACATTAAAATCCACACTCTGAATGGGGAGAGAGAAGGAGGTGAACTCCAGCAGCTGGGGGGGTCCCCCTGGTTTTTGCCATGTGTCCCATTAGAAGTTTATTACTATGAGCAGGGAACAGACTGCATTTTTTCCAAATAACGCAGGTTCTCCGTCACTCCAGGCAGTGTAGACACCTGCTGGTCCATGAGGCAGTGGCTTGAGACAATGGACTTTAGTGAGGGCCTGAGAGCCCAAGGCCACCCTACATGTTAATTCAACACCCAATTCAACGTAACTCAAGCAAATTCAACTAATTCAACTCAGGCGCTGATTCAACAGGAGACAGCCTGGGCCAGGGAGGAGGCCGCAGCCAGCAGCAGGGTTCACCTGTCATCAGAAATTGTCTGAATTCCCTTTTCCCAGCCTTTAGACACCATCCCTTACCCTGGCTGGTTCTACTCAGCTACAGGGTCATGTTAAGATGTTCAGGGCCTGGGGCACATTTGCCCTCCTGGGCCACGTCCTTCACTCAAAAAAGTCCAAAGTTGGCCAGGCACGGTGGTTCACATCTATAATCCCAGTACTTTGGGAGGCTGAGGTGGGCGGATCATCTGAGGTCAGGAGTTTGAGACCAGCCTGTCAACATAGGGACACCCCATCTCTACTAAAAATACAAAAATTAGTCAGGTGTGGTGACGGGTGCCTGCAGTCCCAGCTACTCGGGAGGCTGAGGCAGGAGAATCGCTTGAACTGGGAGGTGGAGGTTGCAGTGAGCCGAGCACACATCACTGCAGTCCAGCCTGGGCAACGCAGAAAGATTGTCTCAATAAAAAGAAACCCAAAGCTGTATTTTACAATTGTCTCGGCATAAAGACAAACAGAATCCAGACTGGAGTCATGATTATACACTCACAAGTATTTTATTCATCTTTTGTCAACTGGATTTTAAAATATCTCCGGGGGCCCTGGACCTGCGCCTTTTGTGCCATGGGAGGCTGGATCCTGCCTGGAGCAGGTTCCTGGCCCTAGTCGTCTCATGGAGGCCTCCTCCCCTCACCCAGGCTGGGTCACCCCAATGTGAAATGCCCAGCTCCCAGACTCACCTCCTTTGCAGCCTGGGCTGCTACCCTGGAACAGGGTGCTCCTGACATGGAGTGGTGGAGGCCAGGGACGATGCTCAGCACCCTGCAGTGCCCAGGATGGCCCCACCCTAGAGAAGAATTGGGCCCCAGGGGAGAACATAGACCAAAGTCAATCCACTTATTAAAAAGAAAGAGGCTGTGTGCAATGGCTCACCCCTGTTATCCCAGTATTTTGGGAGGCTGAGGCAGGTGAATCATGAGGTCAGGAGCTCCAGATCAGCTTGACTAAGGTGATGAAACCTGTCTCTACTAAAAGTACAAAAATTAGCCAGGCATGGTGGCGGGAGCCTGTAATCCCAGTTACTTGGGAGGCTGAGGCAGAGAATTGCTTGAATCCGAGAGGCAGAGGTCACAGTGAGCCGTGATCTTGCCACTACATTCCAGCCTGTGCGACAGGGCAAGACTTCCTCTCAAAAAAAATTAAAAAAAAAAGATTTTATTTTTATTTATTTTAAATTTTATTTTTTTAGAGTCATCCAGGCTGCAGTGTAGTGGTGTGATCCTGGCTCATTACAACCTCCACCTCCCAGGTTCAAGCGATTCTCCTGCCTCAGCCTCCCTAGTAGTTGGAATCACATGTTCCTGCCACCACGCTCAGCTAATTTTTGATTTTTTGTAGACACCTGGTGTTGCTCTATTGACCAGGCTGGCCTCGACCTTCTGAGCCCAAGTGATCCTCTCACCTCCGCCTCCCCAAGTGCGGGGATTACAGGCATGATCCATTGCACCGGGCCTGAGAGATTTTTTTTTTTTTAAATCGATACATTTATTCTGTCCCTGCCTGGAGGTGAGGGAAAGGGGATCTGGAGAGCCTGTGAAGGAAGTTGGGGCTCCGGTGGGAAAACAGTGTCCGGGGGCCGGTGGGCTCTGTGGACGGCAGGTCCTGGGGCTAATGAGGAGCTGGTTGGGTTCTCAGAGGTCACGGAGTGCAGGGGTGGGGCGGCGAGTGGTGGAAGCCGGCTGCCCCAAAGGCAGACCAGCCCCTGGAGCCCGGAGGCAGGTCCAGCCCACGCCCAGCTGAGTGTGGCCCTAGCCCCCGCTGGGGTCTGTCCTGTCCCCACCCCCCAGGTGGGAAGGCAGCAGGCCCACTCTTCCCAGTGGGAAAGGGCTGTGCAAGTCATCAGGTTTAAATAAAAATAATAAAAACAACAATACAAAATAAAAAAAGACTGTCTCAAACAAACCCAGGACAAGCCCACCCCGCGCCCCGAGTGAGGAGCAGAGGTGTCGGCTGCCACCTGGGAGGGGGCGAGGGCCTGGCCGGAGGGGCAGGAGGGGCTGGGGGCCAGTTGGGGGTGGGCTCGGTCCTGGTCTCTGTCAGCAGCAGTTTATAGAGACGCCAGAGGTCTGGGGGGCAGAGGGTGGGGAGGGGTGCGAGGCGCTGAGGCAGGACATGGGCTGGGCGAGGCGTTCTCCGGCCACCGGCTCGTCCCACTGCTCTGGGCTGCCTCGCCAGGTGAACAGGTTACCGGAGATTTATTGCACTGTTTGGAAGAGGCCTGGGGCTAATGACAAGCGGGGGCGGCAAGAGAGGTGGACAGGAGGCGGGCAGGCGTCATCGCTTGGTCTCGGCATCTTCTCGCACCTTCCAAATCACCAGGTGCATGCAGGCGCCAGCATCCTGGCTGGAGCTGTGCCCGTCCACATTGTCCTGGATATCTGTCTGAGGTAGTCGGCCATGAGGTTCCGCAGGGACCGCTTGCAGGGGAGGCCGAGGCGGTGAGGGAAGAGCACGGACGTGTCCACTACGGTGTTGTGGATGACTTTCAGGGCCAGGAGGTCGCCCTGCAGGCTGTGTCCGATGAGGATGGTGTCGGCACTGAACGTGCTCAGCAGGACGGCCTGGACGTCGTGCAGAGTGACACTCGTGTCCGTGAGGCCAGCCTCCGTCACGCCCGAAAACCTGCTGTTGTGTCCACGACCACGTTGTCCGGCTTCATGAAGGTGTCACACACCACGTGCACATCTGTGTGGACCACAGAGACACGCGTCAGCTCCAGGCTGTAGGTCACGTAGGACATCTCCCAGTCCAGGGCGTTGATCCCCGGGTGGGTGCCTCCGGAGAGTTCTTTCTCCAAGGTCTTCACGAAGCCCTCGGGGGCTCCTCCGGCCGCCCTGCACCTGTTACTTGGCAACCCTGCAGCTGACAGAGCCGTCAGCAGCGGAGCGGCACAGGTACCTGGTCTCCCAGCCTCCGGCCACCCGGCTCTGGCGCAGCCGTCCCCAGCGGTAGTAACACTCCTCATCACGGACACAGCGGCCCGAGGAGGACACGAGGTACTCGGTGCCACAGTGGCAGCAGGTCCTGCAGGAAGAGTCCTTGGGCCTCTTCTCCTCAGCTGTGAAGATGGTGGCGCCCCCGGGCCGCTCCGGGTGCGGGAAAGGGTAGCCGTTCTCCTTGAGCTGGTCCTGGGTAGGCAGGTACTCCTTGAGGCGGCTGTACAGGGCGGCCCCTTTCAGGTCCTCCCCCCGGGGGCTGCTTGGGTGGCTGAGCGCGAAGCTGGTCTTGGCGGCCAACCTGCCCCCCAACTCCACCTCCTGGGACACAACCCTGCGGCCACTGGCTTTGCTGAGGCTAGACACGGCGCTGGGAGCCAGGCCGCGGTGCCTCCGGGAAGCCCAGGCTGGAGTCCGAGTCAGAGTCTGAGTCCGAGCTGAGGCCGGGGAGCGTGGGGGACCACACGCTTGGCACGCTCGGCTCCCCCAGCCCTGTGGCCTCGTCCTCACTCTCGTCCCCAAAGAGGTCAGCATGGCTCAGGGCCCACCTCTTCAGCTTGGGGGCGTCCTGGGAGGCACCCTCGTCCAGCGAGCGGGCTTCGCGCTCCACCAGGTTCCCCGACCCCGGCCTTGGCGCCCTTCCTGTCGGGGAGCTGGAGGGGGGCCGGGTGGAGCTCTGCTGGCCGCCAGTCGGGAGTCCCCGCTTGCGGGGCTTGGTTGCCGAGCTGGCCGGTCAGGCCTCCCTTTCCCTGAGCTGGCCACGGGAGTGGCCGAAGATGGCTTCTTCTTGGTCCCTTCTGGCCGCTCTGCCTTGCGCTGGCCTGCGGGCCCTTCTTGTCCACGCGGGGCCTCTTCCCCCACCCTCGGCACTTGTCCTTGGTCTTGACCTTCCTCTGGGCACCGTCTTTACAGCTGGGGGCAGGTGGGGCCCCGCTTTTCTTCCTCTTGAGTTTCTCCTCCTTGGGGCAGCCCCCATCCTGCAAGGCCTAGGCTGGGGAGCTGGGCTTGGCCGGGGTTGGCTGGCGTTGGCTGGCGGTCCCCCACATCGCACTGCACTGCAGTCTCCTTGGTCTCACGCAGGCTGCCCCCCTCGGCCTCCAGGCTCTCTTTGGAGGGTGGCTGCCCAGAGGCCTTGCTCTCAGGGTCAGCCCTGGCTTTGGGAGTGCTGGCCGTGGTGGGCTCGTCACCAGACACCATGGTGGCCTCATCTTCCGAGTCTGAGAACATTGCATCAAAACCGCCAAAAGGGTCGCAGGGCTTCTTGGGGGCAGGCGTGTAGGGCTCGCTGCCGTGGGGTCCCCGGGGCCGCTTGGCAGCATGCTCATCCCAGGAGCTGGCCCTGCTGGGGTGCCGGGCAGAGTAGTTGGAGAGCGGGTCATACTCCAGGTCTGTGGATGGCCGGGAGTTGGCCACCACGTACTTGCCGCTGGGAATGGGGCGATTGTGCCGCCGGGGCTGGCTCACGGCCTTGGGGACGTACTCCAGGGCACCGCTGCCCCCTCTGCCTCTGCCCTGACCCCTGTCCGGGACGCCAGCGAGTACTTGCTGCCTGGCTCGGAGGGGTGGCCAGCGGGGTGGGCGGGTAGCTGGCATTGGGGCTTAACAGGCTGTGGCTGCCAGGGGCTGTAGTGGAAGGCCAGTGGGAAGGCATCGTCACCCAGACCCACGATGGGGCCGGCGTCAGGGCTGCAGGGTGCCAGGACAGGGGCCTCGGGGGCGCGGTGCTCACGGGCCGTCTCCAGCAGCTCCCGGTAGCACCGCTGCGGAGGTGCAGCCAGGGCAAATAGTCCTCCTCCCCCTCCTTCTGTGGAATCTGGGGGGTCCCTTCCTCCTGCTGGTACCTGAGCCAGGTATAACTTGAGCATTATCTCACCCTTAACAGCATTTAGGGGGTTAACTATTTGTGTATCTTTTTGCTTATTTTTGTTTTTTTGTAAAATTTTTTGAACTCTTTCAAATTACATGAACCAAGGAGGAGAAAAAACGTATCGTAAAAAATGGTTCCTTATAGTCCACAGACTGTGTTTTAGTATTTACAACTGTAGTATTACTTTTCTATATGGAAAAAGAAAAAATGTATTGACCTTTCTTTTTTAGAATATAAATAAACTTAACAAGCAACAGTTTTTCAAATCAGTTTTCCCTTTTGTGGACACATTTTCCCATTTAAGGTAAAGTACTCATTTATACCTTATCTCAGAATACTCGGAATTCAAGTTCTTATTGTATGGTTAGTAATGCAAATATTGATAAGGTCATGTTGATACTTAGTACTTAGAAGAATTCTGAAATAGCACTTGTTAATCTGTATGTTTTATGCATTTATTACCTTTTTTAATTTTTTTATACTGTTCCCCAACTTGATGCTCATAGGCTGTTAGTAATAGGTTTTACTTCTATCTCTTCTGGCCTCGAGTATGTAAGCTGTATTTTCTTTAGGTTTAGCATATAATATAAATTTATTGTGTATTTCAGATTTTAAAAGAACAAAGAGGACGTGTAGAATCATTGCTTGCATTGACCCTGGCCCAATTGTCCCATGGATGGGTTTTAGATCAACATAAAAATTGACCCTGCTGTTAAAGCTTGAAGTTTGTTTTATCTGAGTTCTGTCCTCTGAAAAAGATTTTCAGGAAGTATCAAATAACTGAAACATACCAGATCTCAGCACCAGTTCCCTCCTGCCCCTCCCTAATTTCTGTAGTCTTATACATTGTTACATTTCCTTCCTGCC